GAGCCCACTGGTAAAAATTAAACCTCTGGGAACTACAGGAGGAAATTAAGTGGAAAATAAAATCTTGACAATAAAGAAGGCATAACTTTTATTTTTGATAACTTTTGATGACTGACAAATTCTTCACTTTTAAAACATTTGAATTTGCAATCATGCAAAGACTTCCATCTAAAGTGAGAGGGAAAATGAGCCAAACAATGTACGTACATGTAAATAAATGAACAATAAAAATTTTTTTTTAAAATAAAATGAGAGGAAGTAGATATCACCTCTTTTCTGTTTGGGGAACAAGGAAGCTAAGACCTATGAAACTTTAAACTACATCATTTAGGAAATTTCACAAAAACACTTTTTTTTTTTTTTTCTGTAGGAAACAGACTTCTACTCCCTCTGTTCTTCCTGTGCTAACAGTTCAGGGTCCTCCTCAGCATTACTGCACAGTGAGCAGATGATATCTGAGACTTTCTTGATAAAAAAACAGTCCTCTGACAGGGTTGTGGAGAGGTCAGTGCACCCGGATTAACAATTGATCAGCTCTAAGGACCATCAGCACAATAAACTGAGAGACCACGCACTGGCCTGCTACCTCAATAATAGCAATGGTCTGTCACCCAGGCTGTTAACAGACTTACACTTAATGGCACTGGAGTTTCAGCAAGCTTCGGAGCCTTCTTCTAAGCATGGATGGGTTCTCTGATGCACATCCACTTTGCCGAAGTTCTCTCTTTTACAGATTTTTACCAAAGTGGACAGGGTTTGCTCTGACCCTGAGATTTCTCCAAGGTCTGAGGTCCAGATAGTGAATGACATTCTGCAATACTGACAAGTTACTGAAACATCTACACTTGTATTCTGATGACAATGGTACCCTCTGATAGTTTTCTGTTCACATATAGAAAGGGTGACAGAAAAGAACCTTCTGGACTCCCTTTTCTTATTTCCAAGAGAACAAAAACTTATTTTCTTAGTGTCTGCTTTTTGTTTTTGTTTTTGTTTTTCAGAGAGAGACCTTAATGCTTCATTTGTGTTTACAGCACTACATCTGACAAGGAAAATCAGTTGTACAACATCAGAATTTTATTGCAAAGTTTAAGTAACAGGAAACCAGAACACTCTTAGAAGGTAACAATAGCTTCAGATAGACAAAAAAGAGTGTTTCTACATTAGTCTAACTAGAACTCTAATTTTTTTTTCTGCTGAAGGATAAGTAATCCCCTAAAGTCCATGAGACTGACCCCCCAGGTCCCAACCCACCTATGCTTAGTAGAGAACTTATCTCATAGTAAAACTGACAATAAATGCCAGGTCAGGTTTTCCAAAACAATTTTGACTTTCAACAATCTTTCTCATTCCTGCAAACTCACTCCTTGCTCTGGAGCAATGAATCTAAATGCTTGGTCCAGGAAAAACCAAGAATAAGAATATTCTCTAAAATAATCACAGGAGTCAAAAGTAGACAACCCAACATTAACACAATATTATCACCTCATACACAGTCAATATTCAAATCTTTCTTTCTAGTTTCAAGATCCAATTCGAGATTATATGTTGCATTTAGTTATCATGGGTCCTTAATATCTTTTAATTATGAAAAAGTTCTCTGTTATTTCACTCCTTCTCTCCCTGTCTCTCCTTCTCCCTCTTCCTTTCAATTTCTTTCTTCTATTTCTTGGATCTGATTATGTAGCTCAGGCTGACCTCAAACTCACAATCCTCCTGCCTTAGCCTCCCCAGGGCTAGGATTACAGGTGGGTAACACCATGCCTGGCTAATTGTCTTTCTTAATCTTGACATTTTAAATGAAAAGTATAGTCAATTACTTCACAGAATGTTATTCAATCTAGAATTGTCTGATATTTCATCATGGTTAGATTCAAGATGCACATTTTAGGCAATAATTCTACTCACATGACACTGTATACTTCCAGATCTTCACATCTGGAGACATTTGGTGTTACTTTATCTCATATTGGTGACATTCATGTTACCTGTTTTAGGTGGTATCTGCCAGATTTCTCCACAGTAAAGTTGCTGTTTTCCATTTGTCATTAAAAGTAGTGTGTAGGCAGATACTTTGAGACTGTAAAGAACCTGTTCCTTATCAAATTTTATCCATCAGTTTTAGCACTCATTGAAGATCCTTTTGTGAAGCAATTACTGCCATAATTTTCTAACTCCATCATATCTCCCATATATATTAGTTAGCTTTCTACTATATAACCTTTCTCTCCTCATTTATTTATGCTTTTATCAACTTATCCATACATCTATTTATCAGTCAAATGATGGATTTTTGTTTCATCTATTGTTACACTCTGATTTAAGTTGATTTGAATTGAGTTTCTGTCATTTACAACTAGAACATTCGGAAAAGCCTCCAGTACTCCCAAGGAAATGGAACCATTCCCAGGAAAATACATTCAAGAGGCTTAATACGCCATCTTTGCACTTTTAAAAGTGCTTCTGGATGCTTCCATTAAATCCCTCTGGACCACTCTAGGAAGTCCAACCCCTTCCTAGAGTTTGAAGACTGAAGATGAGGCTTACTAAAGACAAATGTGGCCAGTAAATGACCCCTATATTTTTATGGTGCCACCATGTAGGTTTGGCTACATGAAGGCAAAATTCTTCTTCCTTATATTCAAAGTTTGTACTGCTGTTCTTTGCCTTTTCATTTGTAGTTTTTTCTGAGACTGGGGCAAGCTCCCCACTGGGCTCCCAAAGTTACCAACAGTTCCTAGCAGTTCTCTACACCCCCCTAGAATCTCTTACACTTGTCTACATTTCTGTCTCTGGTTTTTACACTTGCTAACTGTTATACTTGAAAATGAGCCCCAGATTGTGGGCTTGGTATTTTCTAGAGGGCTAAACCCCTTTTCAACCCTTTCCACTCAGCTCAACAATTCAGGAGGCTGAACTGTATCAATTACACCAACAGCTGGATTCTTCAGTGGGGGGAACAAAAGCAGGAGAGGGTTGTTGGGGTCTCTTCTGTGCAAATTCCACCATTGCCTGCCGACCATGAATGACTGCACTCCTCTTCTAAATACCATAGCCATTCACACTGGATTTTGGAAACCATTCATTCTCCTTACTTCCTCAGGCCTGAAGTGGTATGCCATGACACTTGTTGGTTTCTGTTGACCTGATCACACATTTATAAAAATTCCTTTTATTAAACATTCATCAATTACCCCACTTGAGTGTGCATTCTTTCACCAACAAGGAAAAAAATACAGATGGAAGTGATGATGAGAGGTCCATGGGAGTGAGATACAACCAAAGCCTTCTTTGGTACTGCCATCTTTTTTGTACTTAAAGATTTATGTCTATCTTTATCTTTTCCATATAAATGGTAACATAGCAAAATAAATACTATTTCTTAATTATGAACACATGTCACTAAAAGAAAGATGTTCTAACAAAGTACAGATTTTCAGATTTGCTCCTTCAGTTTTTCTAACAGTGAGGAAAAGCCACAAAACTCAAAATGACAATTTAGGTAAGTTCCTGCAGGAGAGACCCCAAAAAATGTCCTAGTATTATTCCATTCACTTATTACCTTTTGCTATATTTTCTATGCACTTCGACATCTCCTCAACCAAACACAGACTGCCATGATTGGATATGAGATCTATTGCAAGAATTTTATTAAACAGATGTTCAAATCCTAAGTATGTGAATTATTTAACTTTTAACAATCAGGTTAGAGTCATCATGACCTTGTTTTCAATCACTGGTATTTCAAAATGTAGCCAGGGAAGTGGGATTTGGATATGTTCTAGTATTTTATCATTTTTTCCCTCAGAGCTCTGGTAATTTTTGTCGGTTGACTTATCTAATTCCCCTCACATTGGAGAAAAGTTCATTGAAATCTGATTAGACACATATGAATGTGGGGCATCATCCACATTCCACATTATCCACATGTGGGAAAGGGTTAGGGCTCTCCACCCCTGCTCTGACAAGAAGAAAGACATGTTTATTCCAACTCTGTATCATCCTCTCAAAAACCTTTCCCTTTCAATCACTGAAATACACAGAGCAATTTAACTCAAACTATAGTCACTTACCTGTAAGTCTGCATCAAATTCATGTTTCAGATGTGCCTCTTCTGCAGCCTCCACAAGACGCTGAAAAGACAGAGGCAACATTCAGAATCAGAACTGCAGCCCAGACTCCATCTACACAACATGAAAAGACTGGGGTTTCTCCATTGTCTAAAATAGATAGAGTATCTTGTGCTATATGCATTGAGAATTGATACCTTTGTTCCCATCAGTGTCAAAATTTAGTTTCTGCCTTCATCATTCAATTATAACTCCTCCAATAAATATTTATTGTTATGCATATCTATAAATACACACATATTCTACATTCATTTTTGTAACAACTCAGACTCTGGCTCTTGAGGCCCATGTGGACCCAAAACCTACCTAGAACAGGACATTTCCTAGACATAGAAGGCTCTTAGTCAAAATTTATTGAGTTAAATTGAGTAGAACTCTAAGTGGACTGAAGTTCTTCCCCTTTGGTTTGGAAATGAATAATTATTTTAATCTCCTCATTCAAGGATAATTCTTTCCATACCCAGTTATAATATATAACTACCAGCTGATAGTTATTTGCATTTTATGGTACGTCAATGCCATTTGGATAAGCTGCATCAAATAAAGTAATCACTGAAATTAATACTCAGGAACCACAAGAACACAACTCCTATTATTCTCCTTTGTCAACTAAATTCAATGAATTCATATTCCTATGAAAACAATTTCATGACAAGTCTATTTAAAGAAAATTAGTCAACTATCAAAATCATTTTTACTTTAACTTGAATATGCCAACAATAAGATACTTCCCGCCATGAAAATATAGGCTAAAGAATATTGCAGAAAATTCTCATTTAGTGAATTAATTTGTTTCTGAAATTTTATGAACTAAAAATAAAAACATTTAGATCCAAGTAAAAATTTTAAAAATTTAAATTTGTCCCATAATTATTCTTGCCATTTATGCTGTCTTTAACTTGCTTTTTCTTGTCCTAATACAAACCTGAGTTTAATAGGCTATGTTCAAAAAACAACATTAATATTAATTTCTAAGTTGTCATAAATCAGCAAACAAATGCCTGTCCCATGAGTAACTGGAAATGGACATAAAGAGACTGAAGTAGACTTGGGTAATTTTAGGTGGCAGTAGAGAGAATCAAAGCCCTCTTTCCCACAGGACGTACAAAGAGAAAGAATAGCTGGAGACAGTGCTGCTCATAGACAGGAATCTGGAAGGGGCAGAAATAGGGTTTTCTACACTCTCTTCAGACAGTCAGGAGGTCAGCAGGGGCTTTTCCTGCTCTGATCAATGGAAGAACAGACACTCACAGAACATGACAGGGCAGGAGCTAGAATATCTGGTCCTCTCTGCTGCCCAGATGCTAACCCAGTACAGTTGTAAGATCTTGGGAAAGCGCCTTCCCTTCTCTGAGCCTCAGTTTTTTCATCCATAACACATGAAGAAGTAACCCTAGACTAGAGATTCTCAAAGTATAGTCCCCCATCGACAGCACCATTTTCATGTAGGACCATGCTAAATATGCAAAAGCTCAGGCCCTACCCAGTCTCACCCAATCAGAGGTGTTGAGGGTGGGGCCACCAATCCTTTTAACAAGTACTTCCTCCAGCTACCTGTGATGTTGCTAAAGTACAGACTGAAAGCAGCCCTCATCCATCCCATGCCCCATCTCACCTCTGATGCCTTAACTATGAGCCTCACCAACTCTCCAAGGTTTCTCAACTCTCGTTTATCTTTTCAAAACCTGTGTACATATGTATTTTCACTTTAAGACATCAAATTATTTAATGGAAGAGAGACAAAAAAGATGGAAAGGGTGAGAAACAGAAAGCAAAGGAAAAATAAGAAAAATCACTGTCTACAGTGATTGGGTACACTGGCCCCACGCTTTGGTTGGGTCATGGTATCCCTGGAATCCTCCTAGTCAATGAAGCTTGTCAGCCAACCAGGATCACATGGTGTAATCTGCAAATGTATCAACATGAATCCTGACAGATTAGTGACAGGCAGTGATAGATGAAATCCCTGTTTGTGAGGACTTATTCTTTTAATATTTATAATAGATTTAGAATTGCTATGCATGTATCATTAAATTTGTTGCACAATGAGCTTTATACAGTATGTATAAATATTATGCATGTCTGAACACTTATATTATCAAAACAAGTCATGTATTTTGAGCACTTATTTACTTAAACACCTTAAAAAGTTTTTTAATGGTGTCTAAGCACTCTGAGAACCCAAAGATAAAACACTGATGAATGTCCTAATGATCAAATGATGAGAACAAAATAAAACTTCACAATTACCAAGGTAGGTAATATTGAAAAAAGTAAATCAGGATGAACAAAAAAAAAGTAGTATAGGACTAACACATAAGAAAACAAGATGGAAATAATAAGTTGAAATCAGCATGAAAGAGTACAACATGAAATGTATTTCATATATAACATCTGATTTGCATATGTATGAATGCATATAGCACAGTATGTAATATACTCCTATATAACAACACAAAATGTACTTCATATGTAATTTTTATATATGATGAGTATGTAAGTATGACACATAGGTACATGTCATACACAGCCTATAACGTATTCCTATACGACATAACATAAAATGTATTTCAACCACAAACATTTCAATGCAATAGATAGGGCACAGGAGGTACACAAAGGAAACAACTAATCACACTATATTAAACTGTTAGGAAGAGCCGAAGCACTGCCCTCTGTGCTGAGTGCAGACACAGAGGATCTGATACGGTTGGACAGCTTTTATGCTCATTTTCAAATTAAATTTGCTGCGTGCCTTTTAAAAACTTCATTCGTCTCATATTTTCCATAATTCTCACTCCAAAGGTTGGGGAAATTCTATTCAAGAGCAGATAATCAACTGGCAGCTACATATTATAGTTATCTCCTGTGAAGCTAAGAAGTAGTTTAGAACAGGGCTCTCTGAAAGTACATATTCCTTGAGCTGTCAACCATGGGGTTATCCCAACCTGCCTGCGGAGGCCAATGGAGACAGGTCTATGTTTTCTGGGAGAACACAGAAGAAAACCTCAGAATAGGTTCTGCTGCTATATGCAGTCAGCTATGTGCCTTGTAGGAGGAACAAAAGATAGTTAATCTTTCGTAAAGGAAATTTTATTTGAGAAAGAAATCGTGTGCCATAAATTTTACTTAAAATAGAATCTTGGGGACAAAAGTTCCTACTGTTAATAAAATAAAATAAACTGAATCTTTCTCTACCTAAGTCAAGACCATTCAACTTCAAATTCGGATGATTGCCAGTAGGAGAAAAAAAAAAAACAACCTTTAACATCTCTTTCCTGAGATGTTACCACCTAAGTCAGATGAAGTATGTTTTAAAAAATGAGTTTGATTATCACTTGTAGGCAAAAAGAATCCATTAAATTTGCTAATATTTTAGTTCCTATGCAAGGAACTACCAGTGAGCCTGGGGAAGATGGTTTCTCTATTATATCTATTAGAAAGGCAGTGTACTTTTTAATAAGTTAATTTTCTCTTATATGAATTCCCTTTTTGAATCTGCAGATGGGATTGTAGAATTGAATGTGGTTTTTAATTAAAATTGAACACTGGAAATAGAAAAAGGCTTTAAAGACTCTAGTCACCAGAACTGAGCTTTGAGGTAAAGGAAAACAGCAGTTTGGGCCACAGATTTTCTTTTCCCCTTCTTTAATATCAAAAGCATTTCCTTACTCAATAAAGATGATAACAATATAACTGAAATATACATGCCAGTCCTTGAACAAAGCACCTACCAGCTAAAAGGTTATAATTCATTGTTTGATGCACATTTCATTGACTTTATATTTCTACATAACTCTTCCATTTTAGTGAAATAAGTACAAACAAGAGCTATCTTTATAAATAAGAAATGCTGGAAGCCATGGACCATGGACAGTATTTATAGCCGTGATGAAGACAAAGCTGCCAAGGGGAACAGTGGGGATATTAAAGCACTTCATTGAAAATCACATCTTATTTCTTGTTACAATGAACCCACATATATCTGTACAACACTACAGAATTCAGAGTTTCCCATTTCTTCCCCCAAATACACACATTAAGACCAAGGTTAAAAGCATCATAGAGGTCAAACTTTCCGTCATGGTCCAGACAGAGAAAAATTGGACACCAAGTCAAAGTAAAAATTGGATCAGAAAAAGAAAATGATTTTTTCTTCTATTTCTACTTTTTGTTGTTGTTCTCAGTCATTTTTGCCTTAACAAGGGGAGAAAAGAGGGAAAGAAATGTGCAGTAAGAGGTGGGAAGTATGACTACTCATCCAAAGGAACTTACTGTGAGACTCCTACTGACTCCATCAGAATGAACAAATTGGGCACAAATGAAAAAAATTTAATAAAAATCCCTAAAATGGAGGAGGTAATTATGAATGAATATACTTAAAGCAAAACAGTAATATAAAAACCACATGGAGTAGCAAAGCAAAAACTTATTTCTCCTTTCAAAGCTAAAAAGCTTTGGATTATAAAAGCTGTTATAATGGGGTGTTTGAATTAACAAAGATTTCAAAGCACTTAATAGTTTAGTGGTTTCATTTAACATTTTGCAACAACACATTTAATACTCATACTGAGATTTTCACTGCCAATTTTTTGGAGTGAATATATAATTCTTTCTAAAATAAGGTTGAAGCTCAACTCAGAGGACTCTATAGAAAATTTATCATTATCATGGGTTTTGCTGTATGGATGAGTAAGTTGAAGCTAGTTAAAGAATTGTCATTAATACCAGAGTTAGATATTACATGACCCTTCTTTCATAGCAACAAGAGTTAAATGTGTACAACAAAGGATCACACAGAGTAATCATACTTGATTACTATTCTACTATTACTATAGTAGAAATTACTGAATCAACTGGACCCCACATGGCATGGTTCATCTTTTTCTTACACTAGATTCAGTGGCCTTTGTTTGATGGAAAAAAGAGTTCCAGCTTTTGTCCATGAATGTGTACCCAAAACTAATGTTACCCAGCAGCATGTTCCATGGCAGGGCTTGAAC